CGAGTTTTTGATGAAAATGATGAGTTTTTTCGAAAAATTACTAAAGTAAGAAAAGTTTAAGAATTGAATTGCCCACAAAACAAAGCAAAGATTTTTAAAATCCATCAAGGGTTAACAAAATTCTGTTGAATATTAATGGTGCGCCACCCAGTATACCCCCTTTACAAATTTCAATTAAACTCTAGTTACTGTCAAGTAACGCCCTAAATACATCCACAAAGTGTACCAAATTTGGTTGCTTTAAGTTCAAGAATAACGGAGATATTGATTTTTTTCAAAATTTATAACTTCACTTTCAAAGCCTATAACTCCTTAGGGAAGCAACTTGGTATAGAGGTAAGTTGCGTTAAATTGCCATATTTTGGGACCCCCTATATGCCCCTGCTCTATGTCGGTTCTTATGTGAATCACCCTGTATATAGATCCACAGTGACCAAGGCATAAATTTTGAAAGTAAACTTTTCCGTGGAATCTGTGACAGACTGGGCATGAAGAAAACCAGAACCAGCACCCACAATCCGATGGAATTGTAGAGCGAATGAATAAGACCATTGGCAAATATCTGTCAAAAGTGGTTTCAAACCATCAGCGAGATTGGGATCAGTATCTTTCGCTCTTTGCAATGGCTTATAGATCCGCTGTCAATGAATCAACAGGCCAAACCCCAGCAAAGATCTTGTTTGGGCGTAAAATAAGACTACCGTGCGACCTCGAGTTTGGATGCCGACCTGGAGAAGATGTAGCTGGTGAAGATTATGTGATCCAGTTACGAAGAAGAATGGATGACATGCATGAATTAGTTCGCTCGCATCTCCAAATGGCCAGCGACAGGATGAAGAAACGGTACGATACTCAAGGAAGGCAAAAAAGTCTGGCTCCATAACCCAAAAAGACAAAAGGGTTATTCTCCGAAGCTTGAAAGGTCTTGGGAAGGTCCGTACCTCATAAAGAATAAAACAAATGATGTAATTTACCGTATAAGTAAGATCCCAAACGGTAAACCAAAGGTGGTGCATCAAAACAGGTTGGCGCCATTTAAGGGTAACCATGAAGAAAAAGTAAACCATCTTCGAGAAACATCTTACCTTGTCTTTGAAGAATTTATGGGTGCATATGGAGGTACTGGAAAAGCCAGATATGGTGTTATGACCGAGGAACAACAAGATCTGCACTCGCTTCCAAAAGACTACTCGCTGGTCCATAGTACTTCCGCCAGCATCAACGATGCGCAAGGACTGGCATACGTGTTCCGTAAGAAGTTTGGTCGACTGGTAGAACTTCAATATCAGTAATCAGCCGCTGGAAAAGCCTTGAAACTTCAAGACAGGTCGCGTTATCTTTTCTATTTAATAACGAAGAACACCTTCCGAGATCGATCCACCTATCAGGATGTATGGGAAGCATTACTTAGTCTAAGGGACCACGTACGGGAGTCCAATGTGCAGAAACTAGCCATGCAGAAGATAGAATGAAATCAGCTGGATTGGAGGATTATTAGAAACATGGTGGAAGTAATCTTTTAAGATACCGGAGTTCAAATACTGGTCTACAGCCATTCGCCTAGTGCCCAGGTTACAGCGAAGACAGTCCCTTGTTACTTCCATGCAACTGGAAATAGTAAAAGAGCATTCAGTTGCAAATACAACTATTCCAGTTTAGTTTCGTAAGAGTTCCAGGAGGAACTATCTTTTAAGGAGGGGGAAATGTTATGTGAGCCATTTCATTATTTAGTCATGCTCTAACCCTCCAAGTCCCTCTCTGTCTTATTTGGCTTTTGAGGCTCAACTTGTCCGATTATTATACATAATTAAACCCCTTAAGACCAAACCCATGTGACGACTATGGCGGAGTTACTTTCGCGAATATTCCAGAGTCAATTTCTAGTCTATTCCAAATATAACGTGATAGTGTTTCTGTTTTTGGCGAGAACGTTCTTGAACCTTCACCATAATTTTAAATTGGTATATTAATATTGGTGGAGAATAACGCTGTATCAGTTATTATATGGACAGTAAAGATAAATAGTGATCAGTTTAAGGATATTCGAAATATATATAAATTAGAACAGTAGTGTTATAAAATAAATAAGTGTTTAAATAAATTATTTATAAACTGTTGTTTTAAAATAAACAAATATCACAATATGTATCTATTATGTATTTATATATGTACATTAAGGGGTGTTTATATTTAAACTATTAATTTTGACGGCGTATTGAAAACCATTTTAGTCTGTCTTCTGATAGGCTATAATGAATACGATTCCTTTTGAGTATAGTAGATAATCCTTGTATTTTTGTTAAAACTTCTTGTGTTTCACTATTTTATGTATATGGAAATATGGATTCTGCTTCCTAAATAAATATTATTATTATTATTATTATTATACTTATTTTCGGCAAGGCAAAAACACATTGTTTTAAATTGTAGTGTTCACATATATGCGTAGAATACGCAACCACGTGGAATGCTGCCGGAAATATGCACCTACGCATCCATGTGCCGAGATCTGTTTACCGGGATTCCAAGAAGTTGATAGAAGACAAGTTATTTCCTCAGCGAGCATTCACACTATCCTATATAAACTGACAATCACCAAAAAATAAATACGCACAAAATCTGCACAATTTGAATGCAGAATGTAAACGCACAATCTTAACGCAGAATGTGAACGGACAATGTGAACACCAGTGGCGGCTGCTGACTAAAAAATTCAGGGTTCACAATGACAGAATATAGATCTCAGTACAGATGTAAGTACAAAACTTTAAGTGCTTTAAAAAGGTTTTAATATACCTTTCTAAACACTGAAAATTTTTTTCCTACATATGTTCTGAGATCTATATTCTGCCATTGGAACCCCCAAAATATTGGTCACAAGCCGCCACTGGTGAACACACAACTCTTGCCGGTAATACGCATACGTATTTTACGGATGCTAAAAATACGCATAGTGTGGACATGACCCTAATACATTTTTTATAGAGTATATTATTGCGACTAATATAATGACAATTAATAACAAAAAAAATTACAACGCAACGAAAACATGCGGAACATATTTATGCTTAAGCATCATTTTAAAGATACAAGGAATCGTTATAGTCATCAAATTAATTTTAGGCTGATTAAGAACATTACTATAAATTAAGATTTTAAAGAAACCTTACAGAATTTTGTCGTATATTGACACACATTTCAATATTATAAATTTGAAAAAAAAAATTGCTGGTTTTTAAAAAACATAATTAAATTATGTAATACTTAAGACATGGAACGGCATCCATACTAAAAAAATATTCTTAATAAACTCTTATCAATGTCAGAAAGTACTAAAAGATTGAAGATAAACAAACGTTAACATTCCCGTACCACAAAATGTTGAAATAAGACTAAAATAATAGGCACATTTATTGTTTTAAAACTATATATTTTGCACATCCGGTTAGCCCTCTATGTATTTCTTGAAATATTTTAAAATTTTGAATTCCTATTTTTGGCCAGGAAAATGCGATTAAACCCCAGTGTACGGCGTGACGAATTTCTCTAGTGGACTACTAGATGACACATATAATTGAAGGGTCGCGGTGAATAATGATCAAAGACCATTTGTTCTATTTTGTCAGTATTCACATTTTAAGGTTTGAAGTCCAATATTTCTTGTTTGGATAAGAGAAAAAAAAATGTTTTTCTAAAGTGTATAAAACTAAAAACAAATAATTTCTCAAAAAACGTATGGACTGTGATCCTTTTTGCTGTCAATTATCTTTAATCAATGGGTGGGTCGTCAGCAAATTCGATGTCGCTGTCATCTTCTTTGGTTTGGGAATCAGCTACCAGAGCATCATAGAACGATTTTGCATCAGGGCTGGTCAAGAACTGGGTAAGATGTAAAATATTCTTCACTTTTGCTGCCTTAATGGGACCTGACCATTGTAGAAGTTCTTTAGTGCAATGGATCCAAGACTTTTCTTTTGCTTACTTTTTTGCTTTTGTGGAGGGACGATAACAGCTTTAAAGTAACTTCCGAAGTAATTCTCTTTGTGTGAGATAAATCTTGGCTCATTTTTATCAACTTTTAACACCCTAATTGGTCTTATGGGTAAAGGACATTTCCGCACATACCTCTGTGAAAGAAATTCTGTCCAAGTCTGAAACTTCATTTCTTCCCCACAATTTATTACTTCAAAAGGTGACTGCTTGATCCTGCTGTTCCTTAAAATCTCTCTCGTCATCTGGTCTCTTAGTATATGATTTTACATTGACAAGGCTCATATTTTTGTCGCATTTCAAGTAGGAATGACCACGAATAGGAAATACGACTTTCACACTGTCAAAACGGTTTTCCATATTCACCATGTAATGTAGAAAGCGCATAGTTCTTATTTTGTCCAGCGCAAGAGTCACAAAAAATTATCAAATCACGCACTTGAGGATCTAGTAAATTTGAGAAGAAATGGTGTAGCATTGAACAAACGTCATATGCACCCTTTCGTGCGACACTCTCGTCATACGTGTAAAATACAGATGCTGAATCAGATAAAACATGAATGTTAAATGATATAAAATTTAATTGACGCCGGTAATAAACATCTGATGTTGTAATGTTTAAAGTAGGTAAGTTCTTTTGAAAGTCCATAGCGATTGCTTCAATTTTTGCCTCTCTGTGATTGTTTTCTGTACTTCCTTTTCAAAGAATAAAATTTGTCACTTCTTGTCAAGTGTAATTGCTTTTTACCATTCTTTTGCTCAAGGGTTTTCTTCATTGGTTTTTTTGTTTCTTCATCCACACATTGGGCTATTTCCTCTTCCAAAATGGCAATTTCAATTTTCAAAATATCACAAGTGCTACACGTATCTTTTCTGGGGAAACCGAAGGATATATTGAAATTGTTCTCAAAAATTTCACGAAAAGTGGTATAGCCTATTTGGTGTTCCTTATTGGAGTCACTATACATTCGATGCAGTTTACTTATATTCAGCTCTTCCGACAAATATAGTTAAGAAGTATCTCTTATGCAGTAATATGATTTTCTACCCTTAAGTGATTTTATGAAATCCATAACTTTTAGTTTGGTTACATCACTTATGCGATGGGGTCTGTTTTTGTGCTTTCCTCGACCATCCGGTTTGGTGTCACCCAGCGCACATAGATTTTTCTTCAAATTTTGCACACGACGATTCGAAATACCGTGCAAAGACAAAAAAGCTTTATAACAAACACTCACATCTTGTAGCTTATTTTCAACACGTGCTCGAACTCTGTAGGAATAAGAGAAAGTGTGGAAATTAGCATCAGCTTCGTCTTTTCGATTACGTCGGCGCTGAACAGGTACAACACTGATAAGTCCACTAAGGTATTTACTTTGTGCATTGTAATCTCCCAACTGATTAAAATAGAAAATTATGCGTTGCCGCTCCTCAGAACAAATAGTTATAAAACACTTTAAACGGCTACACTTGCAGTCTTCTCCACTTTCATGACTAATTGCACGTAATTTCTTCATAATATCTGTCATTTTTTCTGTTCTTTTTCTTTTCTTGACATTGCTGTGCATCACATATGCTTCTTCGCCATCCAAATCACTATTTAAATCACTCATAATTGACATTTTAATAACAAATTTTATTATTTTATTCCTCTGTGACAAGCGCCTTGTATTAGTATAAACAAACAACTAAAAATCTAGGTGGCGAACAGACAAGCTGATTCATGAATAAGGAGGTTGACAAACATGGACTCTGATCTTTTATTCCCGTCAGCGCTTGGCCACGATCGTTTTTAGGCGACACATTGTATCTTTGAACGTTATATTTTCGAAGACTATGAACTATCTTCCCCGAAGTAAATAATAGTTGATTTATATTTGGTACTAGCTTCACGATGGCGCCATTCTCTTATTTTTGGCAAAATTGGACTCTGATCCTTATTCGCCGAAACCCTTCAATTTAACTAATAGGATAAAAATAAAAAGAATAATTTTTCTTAAGGATTTTCTTAAAACATTGCCCTAGATAGAAAGTTAAAATAATTTAACAGATTCCATGTTAAGTAAAAAGCAGTGTTAATAACATATTATTACTTTTGTGGTTTTGCACATCATCGTCCCACGTTTTAATATCGAAAATATGCCACTAACACTGTTTTTTAATCAACAGGCATCTTTTAATAAAATCGTTTAAGTTAAGTTATTTTAATAATAAATTTAATTGGGTGTCTACTTAATTTTAGTTTTAATACGAGATTCTAAAACCAAAGTAGGTATCGAAACAATTTTATTTATATAACTGCCAAATTACGTATGAAAACATAATTTTTCAATATGTGTCACCGCCCCCTAGACTCCCATTTTCTCCTGAGTCTTCTACCGCCCCCCTGAAGACCTCCAGCGCCCAACAAGAGAACCACTTTTCTAAACGGTTACATTTGACTAATTTTTATTTCATTTCTTAAATAATTGACCTATATACTTGTTTTATTGCTTCAAACTAATACTAAAATATCAATTTATTATTACAAAAAACAAATTTCAAATTTTTATATAAAAAACTGACTATGTACTTCCTGGCACGTTTAGCAACAATATTGGCCTTTGCGGACCAAAACGGACACCATCTAAATCTACTTGACAGGTGCCAGGGTCGACCGTAGTAAATATACCCGACTTAATCACGTGGTTTTAAAAATCCTGCAAAATAATTCACAGATACACACCGGCCCGTATCCACGTCTAGCCGATATACGACACGGATCACCTCCGAATCGTAAATTCCAAAAGGTACGACAATAAAAATCGTCGAAGGCCCGGCACTAAATAACCAACGTTTCTATCGATCCAATTTCCATCAGAGTTCGACGGCAATTACCTCAACTTGGGCAGTTAAAATCAACATAGAAAGAGTTGTTTTACTCGCTCTCGAACGTTGAAAAATTTGAAGTTAGTTAAACACACAATCTAGTGCCACATAATTTTTATTCGACCGGTAATCAGCCATTCTAACCAAAATAGAAATAAATTGACAGATAGTTTTTAATTGTTGAAAAAACGTATATTTTACAAACAATAATGTATATCATAGACATAATTTAAGATAGAGTCGCCTTTAACAAAATTTCTGAGGTTTCCAAACTTGAAAATTATCTAACAGACTGTTTAATATCGCCATGGTCAAAGAGGTTAGAGAGGGTGGAGGTACCATAGAAAGCATTTTCCGGTGCGCGAATTTTGGCAAAATCGAAAAACTGGGTGGAAGGAGGGAGATGTTCTGGGTCATACTTAAATATTTGTATTGTAGTTAATTTTGATTTTAAAAAATTTTTTGACCTAATTTGTTATAGTCTATTTTTATGTATGAGAGAGTAATAAAACAGCATTTCTAATGCAAAACTTAGTACGGTCATTTTAAATATTTTAACAGAATAATCTAAATATTTCCTAAAATTGTAATAAATGTACCTGAGCTATTACAAGTTTTGGGTCTTTTATTGGTTCTTTATAAACCTAAGCTGTACAGAACAATAGAAAAAGGTTTGGACAGGCCAAAAGCCCTGTGTATTAAAGATTACATAGCCGTATCTTAAAATTATTGTCAATAAGTACCTATTTGCCAATTTTGTTTTATTTTAATTCCAAGAATTTCTTACAGTAATCGAATTTTCAACAAATTTCACCGAAAATGCAATTATAGGTTTTCCATTTAGTAAGGAGGTCCAAGTTGTGTATTCTTGACAGTTTACTGAATGTCATTTAGTTGCAACTTGCAAGGTGCAGTGTGAATTCTAGTGTGATCATTGAAAATTTGGAAGGGCCGCGTAAACGACAAAAAATCGGTCCTTTAACAGTTAATGAAAAAACATTAATATTTAATTGTTTTAAATCATTTACAGACAAACATTTATGTAAAAGTGTTGATGACACAGTGGAATTAGTTAGTAGTATGCTTGGTGTTGGGAAATCTACGATTTACAGAGTTGTTAAAGAAGAGAAATGTGGCGAGTTTCAAACAGTACGTAAAGCTCCAGGAAAACCAAAATTTCAATTAGAAAATCTTTTGAAAGCAAGACTTCGAAGGAAAGTGCATGCGTTCTTCTTTAGAAAAGAATTTCCGACAGTAGACAAAGTTCTTGCCACGGTTCGAGATGATAAGGATTACCCTGAATCGAGTCGAAGCACACTATGGAAACTTTTAAAAGAAATAGGTTTTCTATGGAAAAAGCATTCCAGAAAGTCTATTTTAATCGAAACTTATAGAAAAAATGCCCACAACCAAGTGGTTAAAAAAAGATTTACAGACTTGGCTAAATTCAAAGAATATTAAGTTCCATCCCGGTTCTGTGAGAAAAGAACTGTATCATTTGTGTTCCCTTCATAAAGAGAAATTCAAAAAATATGAAATTGATGAAATTGCAAAAAATCGTGGGATGACGGTGGTTAGATCATTGCGAAGTAAACCCGATTGAACTGATATGGGCACAGATAAAGGGAGAAGTTTCAAGATAAAATAATTCTTTTAAAATGAGTGATGTTAAACAGTTGTTTTTGGAGGCTGTAAATAATGTGAAGCCTGAAAACTGGGAAAAGTCAGTAAATCATACGATTAAAGAAGAGAAAATGTGGAAGTTGGACAATATTACTGATGAAATGATCGAGCCACTCATTGTAAATATTGGTTGCGACAGTTCATCTTCTGATTTCGATTCTGATTTGGATTTGTAGGTAAGAAGTAGTTTTTATATTAAAATTATTATTTATGAACGTAACGTTGTTTAAAAGTCAAAGTTTAAACCCCTATACCTGCATAACCCGTTTGACACAATGTTCTTAACATACCTTGTGGAAAAATAAAACATTTTAGAAAAAATTGCACTTTTTTACCTTCAGCTGTTTAGAAGTTATATGCAGGTTAATTAGGTCAAAATATAAGTGTATACTCGAGGAATAACTTCAAAAAATATTTTAACTGTCTACTAAAAGAAGTGGTACGCCTATAGATTACGAACGCTTTATTATTTTAATACTCTCTCATACATAAAAATAGACTATAGCACGGTTTAAATAGAATGAGAACAATAACACGTTATCAATATATAGGAGCCCTAACAACTATATGTTGGAACAAGCAGTTATTTTGCGAATAAAATGCCAATTTAACAAAATTCTTTCATTCTAATTTTTCTTAATTGTAAATATGAAATTAAAAACCTTTTTTATGATGTATGGAATTATTTTTATAATTTAATTATATATTTATAATAATAATAATAATCAACTTTTTGTAATCAGTTGCATATTGTTCTACTTTATGCAACTGGTTGCATAAAGAAGATCGTTTTGACACTTGCTGCGATTATAAAATTTATTACTTTATATGTCAAAATTAGAGAAAATACAAAATGTAAATTAAATGGATGGATCCCATATTATTATAGAGTATAGAGAAATACTAAATACGAGTAAATAGTTGTGAAAAAACTATTGAAACCAGTTGTGAAGTTTGAAACAAATAAATTGGCAATAAAATTAATATTTTTGTATTTGATTGTATGTTACTCTTTCCACTTCCTGAAAAAAGATTCTCCATAAAACAAGAAATAGTAAACAGTTTAACCTTTATTTGCTACTTATAACATGTACCAATAACCAAGTCCAATTCTGTTTATTTTCAAATCAACAAATATGGCCGTCGACAGAATCTTTAAAAATTAAATAACTCACCTAAATAAATGTGAGTTTCTTTTATCTGAGTCACATTTCGCACTTTTATTATAAATAAAGCTTTTTACAACACATCTTGGCATTTTCAACGTTAATTTCCAAAATTTAAGTCCCTAAATACCAAATTAATTCTCGTTGACACATTCAGTGTGGATGGACAATGCTCTGATATGTGATGTTCTCAACTGTGATTGGAGGGTGTGAATAATTTTGAAATGGACAGAGATAAGGGAGATAAAGATAGGAAACGCTCATAAGAAGCCAATGCTTAACAACGACCAGCTTTAACACAGTTAAAATCTGACCCACTATGTGGCCGCTTTCATCGATATCATACCACGCAGCGGAAAATTTAAAAACCTGATAATAAAGGTTGTCTAAATATCTACTGTATTCATTTTCTTATAAATAAATTTAACCAATGAAATTACACTAAATTATTTATTAAATAGAATACTACACTATTATCGATTAATTATTATAAATCTATTCTTGACAAATATTTTTTTAAATTTTTGATCATTATTTGTAACATTACATTTTTGTTCTTATTTTCTAAATGAATGGCCAATGGTAACTTAAAAAATGTTGAGTGCAAACTGAAGAATGGAAATTCAGATATTTTTCTTCCTATATCAAATCTTCTTTCTAACGTTTTGAAGCCATTTTCTTGTTTTAAAATAAATAATACATAAATACCTACTTTGTGAGAAAAGTTGGTTACTATTTGTGTTACTTACATGACTAGATCTCACTTTGGTTAATTAAAGAACGCCACATTGGTGTGATGTGGTAATGTTAAATTTATTCATGTGGCTCGTGTTACTAATGCAATACGTTTTCCGACTTATTGCAATATTGCAAAATATAATTATTGTCCTTAAATTTCACACAAA